GACAGGACAGATAATAACCTGGTGTAATTTTGGGCCCTATCTAGCTTTGATCCTACACACAAATATACTCAGTGACATCAACAAACTGAACCTTTTTCTTTAAAAAAAAAAATACATTTTTAAAGATTTTATTTCTTTTTAGACAGAGGGGAAGGGAGAAAGAGGGGGAGAGAAACATCAATGTGCGGTTGTCTCTCACTTGCCCCCCACTGGGAACCTGGCCCACAACCCAGGCATGTGCCCTGACTAGAAATCAAACCAGGGACCCTTTGGTTCACAGGCCAGCGCTCAATCCACTAAACCCCAACTGCCAGGGCTGAACATTTAATTTTCTAGAGTAACCCTTGAAAAATACTAGTAGCTCAGCCTTCTCTTCCTTTTTCCTTTCAACTCTTGTGGATACTGAGGAATACACTGTTACACCCTTCACCATACCACTGGAAGGGCTTTGCTCTGCCCACCCAAAACCCCAAATCTCTAAGGCACCAACTATTAAACACAGTTTTTAACAAGAACTATCTCCTAGGCAGAAGTCATGCAAAGCAGGCAGCTTTAAAACTTTCAAGGACTTTGGCCATGCAGCTGTCCAAGTCCAGTCTCTGGTTTTTCTGTAAGGGTGAGAGGGTCCATAAAAAGTGAAGAGATAACGATACTCAACCAAATTAAGTCATTACCAAATCTGCTCATTTATTCATTCAACAAATCTGTACTACATGCCTGCCCTGTGAAACCTTTTGTCAGGCACTCTAAGGATCCAAGTGTACTGGAATAAATTCAGAGGTCACTAAAGATGGCTCTAAATCACGTCCTGTGAGGAACAGTTGAAATAATCAGAAATGGTTAGCCTGAAATAAGACTATGGAGAACATGAGAGCCCTGTGCCTAAATATTTAACCTTTTTTCTTGTGGAAAAGCAATTAGACGTGTTTCACACAGGACCACAGAGAATTAATATCAATGAGTGGAAATCAGTGGAAGGAAATCATAGCAACACCAAGAATGTACTTGTTAATAGAGCTATCTAAGAGCTGTTTGGGAAGAGTAGAAGACTAATCAGCAATATTGGTAACAGGGTTACCTTTATAGCCACTGCATATCATACCCCTAAATAAATCTTATCTGACCACTTCAAATTAAATCAGTAATTCTACCACCGCAAGGCAATCCCTGCTAACACACGAGCACATGTCCTTTCATTTCTGTGCATTAACAGTGAAATTTTAGCACACACACAATTTTTTGAAAATTATTTCTCGAAGCTATTTTGTACACTACCAATATTTACCAAAGCTTTCCCTAATTGTTGGACATTTATAGTTTAATGGTATGAGCAGTTCTCAACACACACTACCTTGTTTGAATTTCACTGACTGTGCTATCTTGGGAAAGTTACTCTTTGTGCTGTAAGTGCCTCATTGGTAAATTGGGGATTGTACTTCAGAGTTGTACTTAAAAAGTGATTCAAGAAAAGCAGTAACAATGCCTAGCATACAGCAATCACTCAGAATTTTACCAATATAGGTAAAAGCCTAAAAATCTGTCAAGAAAAATTGTGAGACTTATAAATAAACCAAGATTACCAGGTGTCTTTTATGGAAAATAAAACTTTATCTAGCACAATCTTGGAGTGGGTAGGGACTCCGAACCTTTGTGTTTCAGCTGTTTTACAACTTTGAAAGTTGTATATAAACACTTCTTGTCCTTAGACACTCAAATTCTATGTGGTAGTTAATTGACGTCCCTCCCGTTGACAAAGCCAGTTTTACATGTACTTGTAAATTCATTTCCACATTCCTGATTCACCTAAGTGTGATCCTTTGGATTCTCCTTTAAACAAATGGAAACATCTAAACTAGTTTCACTAATTAATGAGCTGAATGAAATCTTGGCCACGACAGGTCCTTTAACAGGTCCCATTTCAGTCCTAACTTAATAGTTCAAGGGTCCCAAGCCTAAGAATATTATCAACCATATGATTGTTGGGGACCACTCTGTGTGGTTTCCAAGACTGCAGCCCTGAGAGAGCAAGCCCTGAAAGGGGTTAGAAGTCCCCTTGGAAAACCAGGTAAGGCAGGTGGCAAACATGACCTGACTCTTAACACCTGGAGTTCCCATGGGAACCAGGCTTGATAAATACATTGATTGTATCCTTTGAAGCTTGCTCTGCTTTGCTTTGCACAGCCCTGGCGACATAAACCGAATGTTTTAAGTTCAAGGCATAAGGAGTAAACTCCTTATCTCATAAAACACGTCTTAAAGACCCTCTGGCGTCAGCATGCCTAACAGACCCTGACCTATGACAAATCTGTGTTTTCAATTATCTATAGACAATACCTGTTTTTGCATGACTATAGCCTTTTGACATTGATTGATGAGCTATGCATGTATGCTGTATACTCCTACACATACCATTCTCAATAAAAGCCATTTGGGAGAAGGGCTTGGGGCTTTCTCCACTAGAGGGAATCGCCACCCCCTCTCCGGCCAGAACAGCAAGATTGTGTCCGGGACAACTTATTTCTCATCTGTGGATGGGAGGAATTCTGAAGGCTGGAGTTCCTCCCACGCATGATCAACTATTAATATACAAGACATCATATTGTGTTGTAACATACTTATTCCTGCCTTCATATTAGTTGATCTTTAGGGACAGGAGATGCAGTCTTTTAACCACAATGCATTGTGGGTATTAAGATGTCAAACAGATTCAAGCTCCAGTACAGTTGATTTCCTTCTAACTTGGGGAGGTTTTGGGGAAATAATCTCTTAAGCCTGTTTCCTCTTGTACATGATAAGGATATCTATGGAAAAGTATTACGAAACTTGAAAAAGTTAATACACATAAAGCACTTAGCATAATGTCTGGCATGTAAATTTTACAAGTCTTTATCAGCAAGTTACTCAACCCCTAGCAGAAAAACCAAACTACCTCTCCACACCAGCCTCCCCACCCACTACCACCAGGTACACACAAAGGACATTTGTCCTTCCACACTCCCTCAGGTGATACACAATTCTTTACAGCATTTACACATGCTAGAACAACTGACCCAAGACTCATGCCCAAATCAAAACAACTCACAACCTCCATTACCTAAATCATTACGTGTGTAAACCTCGAGTATTTCACAAAATTTACATTTGCCCAGCTAACCAGCTTCTCACCTCCCATCTGCAAGCCCAGCTCCATTCTAATACCAGAAATTTTACCCTCCTTCCAATATTCCTTCCACTTCCTTACCCTGATGGAATACTGGCTCCTCCCTAGACACTCCCCAGGAGCAATGTAGCTTACCACCACCTATTCCTGGGATGCAGGGTAAGGAGCAGAGGTGGATTTACTAAGCTCTTAAAACTTAAGCTTCAGCCCTGGCTGGTGTAGCTCAGTAGATTATGGGCCTGCAAACCAGTTGCTGGTTGGATTCCCAGTGGGGGACATGCAAGAAGCAACCCCACATTGATGTTTCTCACCCTCTTTCTCCTTCCCTTCCCCTCTCTCTAAAAATAAATAAGAAAAACGAACAAAAAACTCAAGCTTCAGCATCCCTTTCATGAGCTCCTTCTAAGGACTGAGGAGGTTCATTAGCAATGTGTTCAGATTTTTTAAAATTTTGCAGATGTCAGTTAAGGTTTTTTTCCCCACTCGTTTCCCCTTTCAGATGACACTACAGTGATAAATTGTATGAGACTCAGTTGACCACTTCCTGCTAGGCTTCTAGTATGCTCCTTTCTTGGTCTTCCTTTGGTCTACTTTGCAGAATCCCACCTGTTCTTGGAGTAACCCAGGAACAATCCTCTTTTCCATGTTATTTACTCCCTAGAATTTAGGACTTAGATCTCCCCCAGTCACAGGATGAGACCCCAATACCAGATACTAACTTGTACTGAGGAAGATCAAAGTTTTATCTCCAGTCCCAAGTTCCCATGGATTCCACATGAGTTTTTATAAAGGCCTAGTTGAGAGCTCCACATCGATGTCTAATCAAGACTTTTGAACATACTATGCCCCAAGCTGAACTATTACTCTTCCTCAAACCGAATTTTCAGTTTTAGCTCAGTAGCAATTCTAGCCTTCCAGATGTTCAGGCACCCAAACCCTTGGAGCCATCCTTTTTATCCCCCACATCCAATCCTTCAACAAATCCTGCCCATCTCCATCTTCACAAGTCATTGTCATGACCACAGCAACTACTACTCTTTTGTCCAAGATCACTTGCCTAGCCTATTCCAATAGCTATTTCCCAGCTTCCTCCTTTGTCCCACTAAAATCTATTTTGCCAAGATCTAGTGAACCTTTTCAAAAGTTTATAGCACTCTAATGTTCTCTGAATAAAGCTCAATCAGTTCTTAACTTTCAGCTTCTCACTGTTCCAGCCACAACTTTGCTGTTCCTAGAAGGCAACAAGAACTCCAAGAGTTCTCCCCAACAGGACACACACTCACCTCTGCTTAATAAACTCCTAATCTACATATAGGCATGGCTTCTCAGCGAATGGCTTTCTAGATTGCAATTTAATCATATACAACCTCCACCTTCAGCCTTCCATATGCTACAAGTTACTTCTTTTCTCAGGAATTACAGATCTGACAAATCTGCATATTAATCACTGCTCCCTTCTGCATACAAATATTTGAGAAACTTAGAAGCCTTTTTGTGTGAATTATCCCAAAAGCCAGGACTGCCACCTCTGGGCTAATGCCCACAGCAGATTTTAGTGAGCCTGTTTCTCAAAATCATTTTTCAACAGTTTTACTGTCCCTGCCCCAACCCATGAGACAGTCTGCCTCAGGTTATATACTGGATGTTCCTAAATATAGCAAGCATTTTACATAGCATATGTGTTTTTAAGCATAAAAACAAAACTGACATTTAATACTTTATATAACCAGGGGGAAAATAAGCCACAAATTTCAAAGATGAATCCACTGAGAATAGTAATTTTTAAAAAGGAGTGTTCTATTATTATGTGACTATTCCATTCACACTAAAACACTCATAATTGAATTTTTAGATTTTATTTTATGTACAAAGAGCTAGCCATTCTGCAATAAAGTAGATGTCTTGAATGACCCATTCAAGGAAGTTCGCTTAGTCCAACTGAAAAAAAAAGAAGAAATGAATTAATTCAAATGCTTTAAATACCCATTTCAAAAATATATCCATTTTATTCACAAAAATTGGTTTGAGAATGAGCTTTAAACTGGAAATGTAACCTGCCCAAACTAGCTATTAAGATCTAAATAGTTTAAAATATTTACTGAATGACCACTACAAGCTGTTCCACAAACCTGAACAATTATTCTTTTGACTTAATTCTAGTATTGATATTGTCACTTCTTCCCTCAAAGAAATTTCCCACTAGAGAAAACACTATTTTGTAGAATGATCTTTACAAAAAGCTCAAGATGGTAATTACACAGCTAGTATTTTGGTACTCAGTGTGTGCCAGGCACTATACTAAGAGCTCTTCATCTTAGCCTCTGAGAAACTGAAGGCACAAAGCTAGGGAATGGGCCTGAGTTCATTATCTCATCTGTGATACCCTATTTCCCACTGAGTTATTTGAACTTCCATATTAATACCAAGAATATACTTGTTAAGTATTTGGCCAAGGATAAAAGCCGAAGCATAAGATATTTTGTCTCTGCCACAGAGCTCTCACTTTAACGATTTACATCAACACAGAGTCATCTATTTTTAACAAGTAGGTTCTACGCAATATTCTAAAGAAATTATGAATCAAGCCAGTGATTGCAACTCAAAGAGCCAATAAGGAATTAGTTTTCATCTAAAAAAAATAAAACCAGCTCCTAGTAACTATTAGGAATTAAGAAAGCTTCGTATATACGTTAACAATTTTTCGTAACACCCTATCTTTCCTCTTCCACAGGTAGAAACTGAGCTTTAAGTGAACTGATCTTTGCCTGAATCTTCAAGGTCTATCTGGCCCCAAACCTCAAGCTCATTCCAGTATATGACACTATCCAGGATTTCAGGGCAGTGGTCAACACACACATATACTATGTTTAAGCACGATTAAAGATATCTACAATTCCACTGTAGTGGTTCTAAAAAGTGAGTATCATCCATCGTAATACACGGCACCTTGAACTGACAGAGCTGGGCAAAAAGGGGATGGAACCGTCACCCTCCCTTTTCTATTGACCTGACTGCCAAAACTCTCAAGTGTCACCCGCTACCCTGCTAACTAAAACAGAAAAAAGGCGCTAGTCCTGCTCACACTAAAGAGCGACCCGCACTTTCGCCGCCCACAGAAACAGAAGAGCACGGCGTCTGTGAACACGTACCTTAATGAAGCCTATATCCTTCGCGTACTGACGGAAACACTGGCGGCACATATTAAGGCCGTACTTCCGGATCAGGCCGTGCCGGTTTGAACAGACGCGGCTACAAGAAAAGAGAGGGCATTACGACAGATCGCAGAGATGAAAGGATTCCGCACTCGGGAAGCCACTATCCGCACCGTGGCCTTCACGGACCCATCACAGATCTGTAATGGCGGCACTCCCGGCTCTGAGTCGGTCTCCCCCCATATGCCGCCTGCGAGTTCCTCTACATTAGATTTCAAGGAACGTCCCACCCCGGAGAAACCCTTCCCTAACACATTCTCTTTCTCACCAAGAACGAGAACCCTGGCCGAATTTTCTCGGATGGCTCCAGTACAGCTGCTGGTGACCCATGTTGCTCTCTCTGCTGCGACGAGGCAAAAGGAAAGAGCTAGCGCACGCATGCGTTCTTGAAATTTTGGGGACAGTTTACCCACAATGCAGTGCTGACAAACGACGCGTGCGCGATGGGGCTACGTGTTTCCAGGGAGTGAATACAGATCTTAGGAAGTGTTCTAGGCCGGCACAGCTAATGACGTCACGAAAGCTAAGCCTCTAATGCATTCTTGCGCCCCGGCTTATCGCCGGGCGTGGTGGCGCGCGCCTGTAGTCCCAGCTACCCGGGAGGCTGAGGCAGGAGGATCGCTTGAGCCCAGGAGTTCTGGGCTGCAGTGCGCTATGCCGATCGGGTGTCCGCACTAAGTTCGGCATCAATATGGTGACCTCCCGGGAGCGGGGGGCCACCAGGTTGCCTAAGGAGGGGTGAACCGGCCCAGGTCGGAAACGGAGCAGGTCAAAACTCCCGTGCTGATCAGTAGTGGGATCGCGCCTGTGAATAGCCACTGCACTTCAGCCTGGGCAACATAGCGAGACCCGGTCTCTTTTGTACCCTGAACGAACAATCTTTAACCATCTTTAACCATCAAGATATTACTTCCTTTGCGTCGCCCTAACCTTTAATATCTTTCAATTAAAATTATATTTGCAAGAAGGAAGACTTTGCTTTAACTCAACACTGACACCTACTGGGACAAATTTACAAAATAACTTAAAATCAGCTGTAATGACAGGACTCAACGGTAGGAGTTTCCATTTTGTTACCTAATTGACACACACTTCCTAGAAATACAACTACACTATGCCAGAAAACTGATGCGAAACTTACCTTGTTTGGTATTTAAATAGAGCAGATTAAGTTTAAACTGAGAAACAAGTTAACATGCAATATTAACTTGGTTAACTCTGGTTTTGACCAGATGATTTGGTGACAAAACAACTAGTGAAAAACAAGTGCCATCTGATAATCTGCTAAAAAATGTCTATATCCACGTGGTCACTTCTAATGTGTCTAGATAAACAAAGCTGTAAATGGCTCTGAAGTCAAAGCTTTAACTAGATCTATAAAATGTACTACGTTGTGTAATAATCTAGAACTGAAATACAACACTTAAAGGTTGTACTTCTTTAGGATTCTGGTGCGATGCCCTTCCCAATCATTAAATTGGGCACTTTATAACACAGTAAAGAAGGAGGGAAACCAGAGATTTAAAAACCTGATGTAAGTTGATATGACTTGATGCCTGCTCTTAAAGCTTTCAAATGTGATGCAAAGTCCCTAGTTCCATTTTCAACTTTTGTGACTCAATGACAGCTAAGTAAGCAGAGCATTCTGTATTCACTAATGCATGTGCTCATGGAGCACAAGAAGAGCAAAGAAGAGAAAAGATAACCCTAGCTTGGTACATTTAATGGGCCTCTGAGGTCCATTAAAGAAGAGTGGGACTTCTACAGGCAGCACTTGAAGGAAATACCTACTGAGATGAAGTGTGAGCCGAAGAATGGAGTTGGAAAATGAGGCAGGGTAGTTAAGAAGCTACAGAAATTTCTTGACAAAAATAATAATGGAAACTGAGACAATAATTAAACAAGGCCAAACAATTTGAGCAATTTGCAGCCAGCTAATGAATCACAAGGTTTTATCTTCCCTAACCTAGGACACCTAGGAGCAAATGGTTTACACACTCCAGATTGTCCTGGGGCAGACTGGCCTCAGTCCCAGTGTCTCTTTAATTATGTTCTTTAAAAATGTAACTATCCAGAAAATAATCCTGATCCTTCTAAACACGCGTTTTGATGAATTAACATATTGAAGGACGCACCTGAAAAGCTAATGAATATTCTATTAAGGCCCTCACCTGATACCTCCCTTAGGATTCTGGCTGGTCAAAGAAGGATAAAAAGCCTCAAGACAAAGGATCCACAGTGTTCTCTCAGTAGAGCACATCTGCACCTTGTATCTCTTTTTCCTAAATTCTAAAGAACCCCATGAGATTTGCAACCTGAGAAGCAGCAGAAAGCAACAGCTTCTCCCATCCTTAACCCCTGAACCTATCTCTGAGGCCCCATTTTTCACTGAATTGCTCTCTCCTGTTGCTTCTTCTGCCTTAAATTCTTCTATTGTTTCACTGTCCCCAGCTTTACTAAACATACTCTCAAAATCACTTGGAATTGTGTTGTGAAATCTTTCCTACACAAAGTCAACAACTCAGACAGTACCACTGGACCCAAGGCAGACTAGGTCCAGGCCCAGACCTCATCCAGTAACAGAAAAGACTTGGGGAAAGTGAAAAACTTTGTATACTAGAGTGGAGGATAAACAACAACAACAATAAGCTATTGATAGATAAGATTTAAAAGGTGTTTTATTTTAAAGCCTGACTATGAAGTGTCCAGTGTGAAGCTTCTATAATTTTCCTGGAATTTATCAGTCATTGATGTAAAGTTAACAAAGTCAATGTGCTTCCCAAAACCCAGTCTAACATTTGCCCACCTATATACCCTTTTAGGCCTTACCTAGTTGGCCTCAATAAAAAATTACAATAGTTCTGAGATCAATTCCATTAATATTTTCAACACTCACATGTGATCATTTGGGACCATAGATGTTAACTCATTTAAAAGAGGAAAAAAAAAAAAGGATGCACAGGAAGTAATTAGTTACACCTGAACAACCTCTTCACCTGTCTTAATATTCAAGAAGCTTTTAAAGTTTTTCTGGTCTTGAAAATTGTTCTGCAAAAACACTCCCATTTTCATCTTCAGATTCTTTTCACAAACATTTGAATTTTACATGTAAAATATCATAGTACAAAAGACTGCATCTTTCTTGAATTAGCTTCAATTTCAGAACCTTTAGGAATAGAATCATACTTTTTTCTAAAGTTTTAAAATCTATTTGCAGATTTCCAGTCAAGATTGAGGCATAGGTAAACACATTTTGCCTCTTTGCACACTACAGAAAAATTAAAACTAGACCACAAAACAAATATCACCAAGCACCATCATCAACTGAGCTGCATAGAAGTCTGATAAGCAAGGATTTAAAGAAGCCACATTCACCCAGATGGGTAGAAGGGGCAGAGATGTGGATATGGGCTGAGGGGCACAGAGGCATGCAGTAGCATGGAGAGGTGGCAGAATGGGCAGTCCCACATTCACATGTGGTGAATAAAATCAGGAGGAATACCTCAGGAGCAAGGGATCCCAGCCCCAGACCACAAAGCCCAGGCTTCCAGCTCCAGGAAGATAAGTCCCCATAACTTCTGGCTGTAAAAACCAGAAAAAAAAAAGCCAGATCCACAAGAGACTCCTCTTAAAGAGCTCACACAGACTTAGGACTTACTCAGACTCACCCCCTCTGGGATTCAACACCTAGGCAATAGCTGGATGGGCACAAGTAGCATGCCCAAAGAAAATGAATCAACAGAAAACAGGGCAAGTACTGGGAAGAAGCTTCCTCCCAAGCAAACCTCCAGCAGCCAGGCAGAGGCATTGCCCCTGTCCGAGCCCTCCCTCCACACAGAGCCACAAAGTAGCAAAAACAGGTTGCCCCACTCTGGTGATCACCTAAGGCTCCACCACACAAAATTTCCGGGTGCCTTTTCTACAAAAGGCCTGGCTACGAAGACAGAGAGTCAAAGCAGCTCTACCTAATACACAGAAACAAACAGAAGGAGACTGCAAAATAGAATAAAGAAATCTGGTCCAAATGAAAGAACACAACAAAGATCCAGAGGAAGACCCAAACAAAACGGATAACCAACCTATCAGATGCAGAGTTCAAAACACTAGTTATCAGGATGCTCAAAGAACTCATTGAGTACAGCAACAGCATAAAAAAGACCTGGGCAGAAATGAAGATTACATTAAGTGAAATAAAGAAAAATTTACAGGGGATCAACAGTGAAGGGGATGAAGCCAAGATTCAAAAAAGGATTTGGAAAATAAGGAAGAAAAAGGCATTCAATCAAAGCAGCAAGAAGAAAAAAGAATTAAAAAAAATAAAATAAAATAAAGATAGACTAAGGAGCCTCTGGGACATCTCCAAATGTACCAACATCCAAATCATAAGGTGCCAGAAGGAGAAGAGAAAGGACAAGAAATTGAAAACTTATCTGAAAAATAATGAAAGAAAACTTCCCTGATTTGGTGAAGGAAATAGACATACAAGTTCAGGAAGTCCCAAACAAGCACAGCACAGAGAGTCCCAAATAAGTTGGACCCAAAGGGGACCACACCAACACATCATAATTAAAATGACAAAGGTTTAAGATAAAGAGAGAATCTTAGAAGCAGCAAAAGAAAAGAGACAGTTAACTACAAAGGAGTTCCCATAAGGCTGTCTGCTGATTTCTCAAAAGAAACTCTGCAGGTAAGAAGGGACTGGCAAGAAGTATTCAAAGTGATGAAAAGCAAGGACCTACAACCTAGATTACCCTATCCAGCAAAGCTATCATTTAGAATGGAAGGGCAGATAAAGTGCTTCCCAGACAAGGTAAAACTAAAGGAGTTCATCATCACCAAGCCACTATTGTATGAAATGTTGAAGGGACTTATTTAAGAAAAAGAAGAACAAAACTATGAACATTAAGATGGCAACAAATTTACAGCTATCAACAACTGAATCTGAAAAAACAAACTTAGCAAACAACCAGAACAGGAACAGAATCATAGACATGGAGATCACTTGGAGGGTTATCAGCTGGGAGGGGGAAAGGAGAGAATGGAGGGAAAGGTAGAGGGATTAAGAAGCATAAATTGATAGTTACAAAATAGACAAGGGGGTGTGAGGAACAGTATAGGAAATGGAGAAGCCAAAGAACTTAAATGCACGACCCATGGACATGAACTAACAGTGGGGGATGGGAATTGCCGGAGGAAATATGGTACTGGGTGGAGAGGGGCAAAGGGGGATAAATTGGGACAACTGTAATTGTATAATCAATAAAATATATTTTTATAAATCTATTTTGCCATAAACAAGGTCTAAAATATATATTTTGCATGTTTGGCTATTACAATAATATGAACACTTCAGCTTCATCAGTCAATTTTTCCAGCTGGGCAGAATTAATGATTTAATCAAACATTTTTTAAAG